TTTTTTTTTTTCATTATTTTCATTGCAAATTTACAGCATCAATGACGACAACGTTCTACTTTCTTTACCCGGAAGGCTTCAACTGTGTTCATGCTCGTGGTTGGAAACCTAAAAAGACTTTCTTTTCTCCTCGCGTTTTTTGTTTCTTTCAAAATTCTTCAGAATTGAAAAGTCTACCTGCCCTTCATGGTATTTATAGTGAAAGGTGCAATCTTTCTGAGTGCATTAAACTTCAGAGTGTGTCTGCAAGCTAAGCATTGTCCTCTTCCTCATCCTCCGAAGATTGGATTTTGCAGAAGTACGTGTAAGGTACGCAGAAAAGATCCGACTTTTTTGGCCCTTGCTCCTTATTCTTCTTCTTGAAAAAGCTTTCTTTCTAGGTTTGGGGTTAGGTTTTCCATTTTATGGGTTCTGCTAGTTTGTTGTTTGGTTTGCTCCATTGCTAGTTTTGTATAAAGCTTTTATGTATGGGAAGAAGGAACATTAATGACGAGCGGCCTTCAAAAGTTCGCATTTTGATTGGATGAACATGCGACTAGTTTATGTTCTGTTAACTGATCTCTTGATGACTAAATTTTTTATAAAATAAATATTTTTCATTAGGAGCTGTTTTACAATGATCATCAGCATAAATTAAATGAAATTTTTTATTCAATTCTCTCCTGCAGGAAGCTCACTTTACTGCTACCTCACAAATCAATACATGGCTATTCTTCTTCCGTTCTTACAGAACATTGTTTGATTTTTTCACAAATTAATCGTTGTTTTCGGAAAAAAACAAAATCAAATCTTCCGTGCTCAAATTGTCTACTTGATTGGGAAAAAAACGCCAGGATGACAGTCAGTTCACCGAAGTGTAAAAAAGGCAAATTTGAAATTAAGCTGCTGCCCATTTGTTCCAGCAAGGTTGTTTCTGAAAATTTATTAGGCTTGATCACTTCGGTGCTGCAAAATGATTATCAAAAAACCGAAATTTCATGGAAAAACTTGAACTTGGGTGATAATATGTTAAAATCAACTCATGTTGATGCTGCAAGAGATCATATAAGACTTCCTGAGTCAGTTTCCCCTCATCCAATTCGCAAGATGCACTCTGCAGCTGTGAAGTTACAGAAGGTGTACAAAAGTTACAGGACTCGAAGAAATTTGGCAGATTGTGCTGTTGTCGTTGAGGAATTGTGGTTTGTTCTTAAGCTCAAAATACAAACATTAACTATCTTGTTTTGGCCTTAAGCATTAAGTAACCATAAAAATTTATTTTCAAAGGTGGAAGGCATTGGATTTTGCATCTCTTAAGCACAGTTCAATATCGTTCTTCAAAGATGACAAGCCCGAAACGGCAGTTTCGCGGTGGGCGAGAGCTCGGACGAGAGCTGCTAAAGTAAGTTTTTTGATATAATTCTCTTTGAGTTATGTATAAACTGGTTCTCTTACTATAGTTTTAATGAAATTGTTCTATCTTTTAATTCTTACAGGTTGGTAAGGGGTTGTCTAAGTGTAATAAAGCTCAAAAACTAGCACTACAACACTGGCTTGAAGCTGTAAGTTCTGATTACCAGAACAAAAATTTATATCTGTTGTATAATGAGAATTATAAGTATTTCATGTTGTGGTGAATTCTATAATTTTGAAAAATAATATGTTTTCAGCTTAAGGCTTATATTCTAGGAGGAAGATCTGATTTAGTAAATTACAGAAATTTCATATTAATTGCAGCCAGCTTAATTTTTCCTTACTTTTTACTATAATGTGCAGATTGATCCACGCCATAGATATGGGCATAATTTGCATCTTTATTATGATGTCTGGTTTGAAAGTGAGAGCACACAGCCATTTTTCTATTGGTAAGATTCTGTTGCTAAGGCATTTATAGTCTTTTGAAAAAATGAAACTTTTTTAAATATCCATCTCATTATTTAACCATCAATGAAGGCTTGACATTGGATATGGTAAAGAAGTTAATCTTGAGAAATGCCCAAGAAGCACCCTTCAGCAGCAGTGCATCAAATATCTCGGGCCGGTATGTTATTATTATTACTGTAAATTTTACTTTAATTCAGAAATTGAAAATTAAATTTTGATGTGAGTTAAGATTGCTTATTTGGTAATGCAGAGAGAGAGGGAGGCATATGAAGTTATAATTAGTGATGGAAAACTTGTCTACAAACATGCCAATTCACCCGTGCACACTTCTGATGTTGCTAAATGGATTTTTGTTTTGAGCACCAACAGAGCTTTCTATGTGGGTGAGGTGAATCCTGAATTCTTGTTATAACGTTTATATTAACCATTATAATTGCATAAATGTCCTGATATTTATCATCCTGGTCTCTTATTTGTAATATAAACAGAAGAAAAAGGGTACATTTCAGCACTCAAGTTTCTTATCCGGAGCAGCTATAACAGCTGCAGGAAGACTGGTTGTCAAAGATGGGTTTTTGAAGGTATAAATAAATAACAACTAATTTCAACTATTAATGAGTCTTAATTATATTGATATTTATATTAATAATTATTACCTAATTGTGAAGGCAATCTGGCCGTACAGTGGCCATTACCTCCCAACAGAAGAAAATTTCAAAGAGTTCATCAATTACTTGCAGGATAACAATGTTGATCTCACCAATGTTGTGGTGAGCAAAAATTCAATTCATTTAAGGACTGTTTGCTCTTCTTTATATATCTTTCTAATCCTCTTTCTATCAACATTAACGCAGAGATATTCAGTCGATGAGGACGAACATTCCTCTTCGCTTAAGAAATCAAAGAGCGAGGAGGCATTGGAAGCAACACTCGAAGAAGATTCAGAGAAAAAGAATCGAAATTTGACCGAGTCTGATGAACTGAGTGATGCTGAGGACACAGAAGAAGATAAAGAGACTCAGAAGAATGAATTTAAGATGGAAAATGATGCCGGAAAGGTTTCTTCGATTGAGTTTACTAAACCCATTTCACAGAAATGGACGACGGGTCTCGGCCCACGCATCAGTTGCATGCGGGATTATCCATCGGATCTCCAATTTCAGGCACTTGAGAAGGTTAATCTTTCACCAAAGTTGGCTATTTCTCCGAGTTGGGGTAAGGATCCTATCCCCTCTCCCAGGCCAAGGCCTAGTGTGAGAATTTCTCCTAAGCTGGCGTTAATGGGAGTTCCAAGTCCTAAAAGTAGGCTGGTGCGCTTCCAAAACCAGAGAGGAGAGAATTTGAATTCATTTTAAGTAC